CCTTCTTATATCGCAGGTGATAAGCAGAGATATAGACTCCAAGGCAATCGTGCCTGCTTTTTTACGAATGGCGAGTCTTCACATCGATCTATTTTGGTGGTATCTTCAAGATCTGAACGTGCTTGGTTGTCTTGGCTCTTGGACCAAGAGGTCTTCCCGTCGACACACTGCGCGACGAGCCATACACAGCACAAGACCCTCATCTAGCGCGACATCGTTCACAATCAGGGATACAAGAGCCGATATCGTACCGATTATCCGATTTGACTCGTAAGGCGTGTCTACTAGTGATGCTTGTGCCAGCGCCTACGCATTTCTCCTGCACACCCCCACGATATTCGCTACGGGAACGAAGCTATCTCCACAGTCGGGCGCAACGCGGCGATGCCATCCCTGATTGCCAAGGTCAGCACATTGCGGAGAAACGGCTATCAAGCTAGTGCAGCTAGTGGATACTGAATTTGGAAAAGGCACTTGCATTGTGGGCCGCAAGCGGGGAGCACGTCGGTGCGTTCGGTGGGACTAGAAATTGGCAAAGTGAGCCAATAGACAGGTAGTGTAACGGTGACAAACTTCTGCCCTGGAGTGGACTATCTGGACCCTGTGAATCATCTTGGTTCATGATGTAAGCTTACCTGGCTATCTACCAATACAAATTCGGAAGGCGCTTTGTCTGTTCGGCGACTTCGTCAGGTGTTTTACTTTCTGTTTGTGGACTCTAGAACATTGCTGATATACGCTCAACCACGGCTCTAAGAGCCGCCAAGACGGTCATTAGACATAGCCCCTTCACCTATTGTACTGTTTATACAACACTAAGAGGGCTTTCTAGACTTCTGGTTGATTGTGAGTGTAAGGTATTCCTATTAAGCTTGATTGACAGTCCGTGTTGCAAGATCATGGCTGGTATCAGCTTTCAACCTTCTCGTGTAGTAAAGAACAGCCCACTTAGACTCATATGCTCCAGGGTAGCATACTAGGAACTATCCGCTAATTTAACTCTCCTGAAGACAGATAGAATGGGTGTCAGAACGGGAGATACGACCAACCTCGGGGGCTAAGATATGACCGCCTTGCATGCTCAATACCAACGCTTTTTTTCGGTCTTTGAACTTCCTCAGAAGCCACGTTGACTTTGGAAGCAACTTGAAAGTCTTCGAAATGTGCAGTTTCCTCCGATCGTTCATGAAAACTTGCAATGTCGGCAAGCTCCTGGTCGATAGAGCGGCCTGATTGAATCTGATACCAGGCTTCTGTTGAGCAGGTCTCCTCACTTCTCGTCTCTAGACTGGACGCAATCTGTTCTAGCTCACTAGATCCTGTGTTCACAGCAATCCCTGAAGCTTGAGCTTTGCCTTTCACACTCTTGTTGTTCTGGACTGGTGAATGGGTGACTGACGCCGGCGGGCTAATACATTCCTGCCCTGGCGAGGTGGGAGACCGCAAGAAGGAGGCGCGCAATACCTCATTTTCAATGCAGACACGTTTTAGTGCGAGCACTAGCCGTTCATTTTCCGATCGGAGCAGTTGTTGGCTATCTTTTAGTTTTGAAAATTTGGCTTCGAGATCTTGTATATGCTGTTCTTTGCGCTTGCGGAAGGCTCTTTGGCTTATTGAAATTAGCATCTGTTAAAGGTAGAGAACAAGCAGGGAGAAATCACACGTACGCCGCCCGGTTCTGCGCTTTCCGCTTGCTATGCGCCGATGTGAGGACATCCTTAGCATCGCTGCAGCTTTCCTTTGTGCTTCTCTCCCGTGAAGCGTCAGAGTCGCCTCCAGTTTCAAAATCTGTACTTCCTGCAGCTAGTCGTACATGTAATATCGCGCTATTAGGTGGGCTTTGCTGAGAGATATGCACGCGATCGGGGTTGAATGCATGGCGAGGGGCGGAGAAGCACACAGATCCCGAAGGTTCTTGTGGATCACGAGACTAGATATCAGTTAGAATTTTGGTGAAAGAGCGGGTTGTGTGACATGTCAGCATCTATCAAGGAACGTACTATGTTGTGTGGTGTATCTCGTTCATCTCTGTGTCGCATGAAGACATTTGATGTCATGTCCGTGGAATGCCGAATAGGATTGGGTATTAATGGCGCGTTGAAAAACAGATAATCCATGGCGATTACTGCCTATGATAGCTGGTAGTTGTAGAGTGAGGATGAGTATGCTTATGCAAAGACAAGGGTGTTTACGCGGCAAACTGATAGCCTGATCGCTGTAAACAGATGGCTGTGAATCAGATTTCGCATGCCTTGTGTAACGAACTTCATTAAATAACAATTCGAAGGCGAAAGTCGGAACCTTGCATTGATCAATCCCAAGAGCGATGATAAGACTAGGATGCGCTCTCATATCTGCTACGACGAATCTGTGTTCTGAAGAAGTAGGTCAAGTCAGCCTGCAGGGATCTGTGGATCCTGGACCCTGAAAAGCAGAATGCCGATTCGGAGGCAAACCCCCGCTTCATTGGTGGACTCTGGCTTCCGACCGCCTTTTTGATACTCGATGCAAATGCCATGAGCGTCTACGGGCTCACGCGAACTTGGCAACTGCACGCGCCTTCATTGTACATGAGGCGGCGTTGCGCCATCACGTAATCATGTTCGACCCCGGACGACATCGTAGTGGCCGTTTCACAAAGACGCCTCTGTACAAGCGCGCTCGTTGGTTCAAGTTGTCATTGCTAAGACAGCCTCAGCCACTCGTCTAGTATCAACCTTACACTCGACGTGTATGTATCCCTCCATAAGCGGCTGCATTAACGTATTCCTTCCACTCTGAGATGACGAAATGCCTTCACTGCGGGTCTATGATCAGAAGACATCGGAGTTCGAGGAGCACTTTGATAATGGAAATAGATAAGATGGACCGGAGCGTACACGTTAAAAGCCTTCAGACACCACAGAACGTGAATTAAACAAGGTATACTAGTCCTTAATCTTGTCCCAACTTCACTTTAGCTTACAAGTCCTTCAAGCTGGATACTTTGCGCGTGCGAATCCTAAGTGGTGTTTCCCTTTTAGCTCGACATGAACTCTTCCTGTGGCTAGGTGAGGTTGCGGTAGGATAGAACAAATCTTTCACCAACGCGTCGTCTGTGGGCCTGGATTGCGTTAGGGATTCGGTCTGATAGGAAGCACTTATGAAGAGAAAGGATAGAGACGCTAGATGTGCGACCATGCTCAACTACGATGATCATGCAATTACAAATCACAATATCAGAGCGATGCGCCGAAAAGCTTTTAACTCATAATAGAACCTGTGGTGCTGGCGTGTGCGGTAGATCCGAACGGACTGATTTTAAGAGATGATTGGGCTAAAGCGACTACGTCACCAGAGCCAGCTAGCTAGCCGTCAATGCGAAGATTCCGTCTTCTTGCCCACAGGCGCATCACCCATCTAGTCCGCACCGTTGCTCGCTTATGCAACTGAACCCTGTTTGTCTTTCCTAACTAGGATGAGATTGAAGCCTAGTATAGTGTGCACAGACATGCAGCCCCATAGTAATTCTTGGCGTACCATGAGATCAGGGCTCAATCCACAGGAGCCTCAAGACGTGGGTTCTGATGCTTAATCAGCATGCCAAAGCCTTTTTCCGAAACACGCTCAGAGTTAGCAATGTTTCTGACGCATATCGAGCCCCACAAATGGCACTAGTACCACGCAGATTGTGGTAGAACACGTGCTTTCCAGCAAAAGATCCTTTCTCACGACAGAAATGATTAGCAATCCCGTTCGGCACTGCTAAGAAACTTCTAGGCGATATCTAAAGTCTAGACGATACAGAGTTCACCTTCTTATGCTGTCAAGACAGTCAGCATCCGGCAACTTGTGAAAGATGAAAAACTAGAACGCTGAGTTATGTATAAGACTGTACGACTTAACTTGCTCTATTTATACACTACACCCAACATCTCACCCTCATACGACTACCCTCGCCGATCAGCACTATGCACAGCGACTCAATCGCCATCTTTCCTGCCTCCGGCGGCATCGGCGGCAGCACATACCGGCACCTCCTCAGTATCGTGGACCCAAAGAAAGTTATCCTCGTGGCAAGAAGCCCAGGCAAAATTCCCGAGACGTATACGAATGCAGGAGCAATCAGCAGATACGGTGACTATGACAAGCTAGAAACTCTTGACCATGCTTTTGATGGGGCGCGTTGCCTCAACCTCATCTCTTACGCGAGTATCGAACATGAGCACCGTACCGAGGTAGGTGACAACAGTTCTGAAGACCACAAAGTACCTGCTAAGTGTGCTACATAGGTTCAAAAGTACGCCATTGATGCAGCCATTCGTTCTGGCGTCGAACACATCTTCTACTCCTCCCTTGGTTTCGCCGGCAACACTCCCGACTCTCTTGCCTTCGTCATGCAAGCCCATCTCGATACTGAGAGGTATCTCGCCCAGCTTGCTGCGCAACGTGCGTATTTCACATACACCGTCGTGCGTCAGGGCTTGTACACTGAATCGTACGGCTTGTACCTTTCTTTCCTCGATCTGAAGAGCCCTCCCAATGAGTTGAAGATTCCACACAACGGAGAGGGCCCTGGGATATCATGGGTCAAGCGCGAGGAGCTCGGCGAAGGTACTGCACACTTGCTCGCCGAATATAACAAGAATCCTGCAACTTTTTCACATATCAACGACACACTCCTCTTGTCTGGCCCGCAGGAACTCTCGATAGGGGAGAGTGTACAATCCATCAGCCGTGTACTTGGAAAAGATGTCAAGATCCAGCAATGCTCCATCGATGAATGGGCGTCTCAGGAGTCTGTTAACGGGGCTTCAAAGTACCTCGCTGGAGATATGAAGAAGTATTGGGCAACTGCGTACGACGCTTTGAGGCGTGGGGAAGGAGCTGTGGTTACTGATCATTTGCGCCGTTTGCTTGGTAGAGAACCGGAAGGATTCGGGACGACGATTAAGGGCATGGCTATTGCCTGATCTGATGAGAGGAGTACAGTAACGCTGCTGTGCAGTATCGCACTAGTATTATTCAATAAGAGCCGGCACAGCTTCTAAGAAACCATGTGCCACAGGATTGTAATTCATAGCCCGCATGACTTGATCGCAAATTAAGCGGTCACTCCCTGCGAAGACGTTCTCTGCCCATAGTACTCCTTGTACAATCCCCATTATCTCATCCCACTCTCTAATGTTCATGCTTTTCAGTAGAGCAGATAGCATCGAGATAAAGTGGCTTCGCTCTACATGATTTTCCGTCTCAATGGCGGCGAAGTACAATATCCAGATAAGCAATGGGTTCAGCAGACCCCATTCGACATGATTTGTTCCCAGAAGGAAGAGAAGTTTGCGAGATATGGCTGCTGTCCAAACCGGATTCTGCCCGAGGGCCCTCCAAAACGGGGCTAGGAATAAGAGGGTGCCTAGTCGACACATTTCTTCCATCAAATGTTCACGTTGGCTGCCATTCCCCAATGGTCGTATTGCTAGCAGTCTGTACACAGTTGGCTCCATCCAACTCCCGCTTGTGCAAGCTAGCTCCTTCTGTTCAACGGCAAACGCTCGGTCTAATGAGATGAACTGCACAATGTCGTCGAAGACAGTGATCCAATCTATATTCCCTGTCATTTGTTGTTTCCATAATAGGGATATGGCACTAGACGGTCGTGGTAGATGCTGAGGAGACTTTGAGTCCTCTTCCCACCTGCTTGGCATGGGAACAATAGGAGGAACATCCTGAGCGAAGCATCCTATGAGATCGACCCTGTTCAATAGTCAGTTGATTCAAGTGCGCGAAGTAATGCCAGACTGAGCTAAGGAGTACCATGTTATAGTGATTCTGAGGCTTTCATTGACAACTGTGTCATAACCGCCTCTAAGTGCGATGATCCTAGCAAACGCATTTCGATGATTGTCCCAGTTCCCATCTCCGAAGCTGCCTAGTAAAGCCTAAAGGTTGTTAGTGATTCCTCATTGCTTGCACAGCCTATCGAGTTCATACAAGATGACTCATCATAGAGACAACTGCTCCGATCGTTTCATCGCTCTTATGCTTCGATGGATCCTTCATCATTTCAACCGTACAACGATATGCTTTTTGACGGTGAGTGAGAGCTATACGATCATCCTGCGATGGGAAACGACCGTTTCTCTTCTGCAATAGAAAGTTGTAAGAGTTTGCAAGAACGTGGTGGAACGATGCCGCGCTACTGAGACCAACAGGATACCAAGAGCCTAGCAGCTGACTCGCATGGTTGGTATTCGGACTGAAAACTATGGTAGATCAGAAACAAGCTCAATCATCCATCAAGTATCACCCACTATATGCGACTAGCATGCGAGCAGATTCGTCCAGATCGAAAGGATAAGGACTAAACGGATCGATCTGACCACCTAAGCGATCAATCTCAAGTCTCATCTCATCCGGTTTACGAAACTCTAGGATGATCTCGTTACGCTCTCGCTTCGTTCTGGGCTTCCTTCGTGATTTACCCACTTCAGTCATGGCCAGAGATCGAATGTGTAGCCGCGTGTTTTCATCCTTGAGGTCGTCTGGGTGCGTCAAATTCACAAAGCTGAAGCTCGTCTTTCTTCGGCGATCCATGGTACAGACTTGCGTTCAACTTTGCGACCAAAGTGTAGAATGTGTAATGTACGTTTGGGTTCTGGCCAGCACTTTGGCAGGATTATGTCAGCGCGTCCTTAAATTGACTAGCATGGAATTCAAAGCCTTGAGTGAGAGTCTGGTAAAGCGAATGGGAATACTGGCACGATGAGTGGGGCAGGGAGACACCATTAAGATGCAACGATCTCACCGTAAACCAGAGGTGCGCTTGTGCGTTCACTGGTGATGTGAAATCCATTGCAGAGTATGTCGGAAGTCACTCCGTGAGAACAAAGTGGTGCCAAGAGGCCTCACTTGAACTAAACCTTTGACAATCTCCGAACCGGCGCTCGGTGGTGCGTATTACCCGACGCTTCTCATTGAGACGTGCGCAGGCTAGTCGACCACACGACGCGTCCGAGAGATGGTCCTAGCAGGGGTGATGAACAGGCACGACAAGCTCGAGTACATGGTTGCGAGGCTCGCGAGTCGCGCTGGCTGATTACGTAACGGCATCGCGCCGCGTCAAAATGCGGCACAGCTTCGCCTTATGAAAACGGGAACAGCAAGATGACTGCAGCATCGAGTCTTGGCTGGAGAAGGAACGTGATAGGGCTTGATTCGATGAAGCAAGCACGGCAGCAGCGTCCGTTTCCCATTCGGTATTAGTGCGATGACAGGTGTGACGTTTCCGTACATCTACACCTTCAGCCTCAACACAACCGATGGTCACCACATGACTTGAAGTTAATCACCAAAACATCATGTGTTCAGTATAAGCACTTTTTTAACAGGCATCCTTCTGGTTCACGCATCGTGATGAGGATTGTTAGAACACGCCTGCTTCATCTTGCCGCCGTGCGACGCGACCCCTAGGTTATAGACATACACAACTCTTATCCTAAAAAAACAACGGAGCAGGCTACAAATCTGCCCTAGTAGGACATATGACTTTGCAGCGCCCTGTGACATAGCTTTACCACGCCTCATGAGATCATATGATGTATTCACCGCTTGACAAAAATAGTAAGAATCTTGCCTCTAATCGATCCTGGTTGCATCCTCGCAGCGTGCTCATCTGGCAATGACTCAAGTCGCAAGATGCAAGGTGCAGCAAAATCGCAGACAGCCTCGTCAAGGCAAACCGTTATCGAGCGGCCTACCTCGGAATGCAGCATACGGGCACCATGATACAAATCAAAACGAGAATCACATCTCTGCTAGAAGGCCTTGCTTCAGAAATGCTTTAGACAGTGCTCTTGCGAGACTCGAGGAGGACATGAAGGAACATGATCTGGCCACGCCAGAGATTACAACGACCCAGGTAAACTCTGAACAACCGGTACAATGGGAATGGGACGACCATCGTCAAGACCACTACTATTGGGTGGCTGGAGGATACTTCAAGTATCACAAAGGTGGTCGAGTCAGACCGGGCGGTACACCATACGGCGAAGTAGGGGGAGGACAGCTACTCTTGGAGGAGCGAATGATATATTGTGTATCAAAAGACTGTAGATTCTGCCCGGACGGAGCATGTTGCCTGGAGGGAAGAATGATAGTAGAGACCAGGAAGAACAGGGAGGAGTAAAACAGGGGGAGAGATTTGCCACAACCATGTCATTCCTTATTGCTGAAGGCTGGTAATTCTTATACCAGTCGCACCCTAGGTCAGCCATTTTTGCTTTTGCTGTTCATCGTCGACGTGAAATCATCATCGTTTTGCCTGGCAAACTACCAACCACGTACAATCATCCTCGTCCCTAAATCTTGCTATTCGCCCTCGCCGCTTCAACATCGAGCAGCCGTTTGAGATTCTGACAAACAGCCTGTATATACGCCGGTCTCTTCTTCGCCGCCTCCGCAGCCTCATCCGGATCTAGCGACTTCTGTGCGTTCACCAGGTCCAAACGGGCGTGTGCGAGCCAAGCGCGTGTTTTGGGCTCTGCATACCATTTCGCCGCATTGAGATACGTCTCAAGAGTCATGCCGAGGTAGTCTTGCGTTTCGTCTGGGTGGGGCACGACAGTGCAGAGCGTGTTCTTGACCTCGTCGTTGTCATACGTGGCTTCGACGTGGCCGATGAAGGCGGCGCTGAAGACTTGTTGGCAGAAGCGGACTGCTTGCAGCGTGATGTGTCTGCCGTTGAAGACGGGTACGGGCTTGAGTCTTGCTAGGCCGCTGGCGCTGCAGTCGACGTACAGTGTATCCGGCACGGGTGTGTACTTGCCTCCTTCGAGCGTAACCTCGTTTGCGGTAAGGCGGACGACGCGTCCTTGACGTACAATGTTTCCGATTCGTTGAATCTGCTCGAGTTCGGGGACGGACAGGGTCGCGCACTTGTACATGGTGGGCCAGACGTTCTTGTCAATCCGCATCATCTTCCCGCTGGCCTCGAGCCGGTAGAACAAATCTTCTAGCGACGTGGCATTCACAATGGCTTCGCCTTCTGCCTCGAACATCTGGGAATCGTTTGCGGGGGACCATGAGGGCTGCAGGGTACTGCGGTTCATGCACCAGGAGTCACGGGGCATGATCCAGGAGATGTCTTCGGCATCGATTCCTCTTGAAAGTAGCCAGAGACAGGCGTCGATGCCCGTCTTTCCGGCCCCGACTACAGTGTAGCTGCCGTACGGTCGGGAAAGAGATACCAACCCGTTTGGTGCAATCACATGCACGTCTTCTGCTACCTCGTAGGGTGGTGGCCTCATTGCTGGTACCTCGACTTTCATGAATGTGGCATCTACAATACGCGTCTCTGGGCCGACCTGAACGGCCTTGTTCGTGATGATAGATTGGAATCTGCCCTCGCTCACGTACCTAAAGATCGGTGTACCAAGTCAGCATCCGTCTTACATGCGTCTCGACAGGGATACTACGTACTCATGCAAAGGATAATACTCGACCCGTCCAGTTGGAAGAAACGTCTGCTGCATGACTCTGCTGAAATAGGAACAGACTCCGTCTCCTGTTGCCAGCTCGGCCATGCCCTTGTTCCCACCAATCTTGTCAATGTTCTTCTCGCCCGGAAATTCCTGAGAGTTGACGCCGTAGAAGGCTGATGGCTGGTGGAGGGTAACGTGAGGGTACACAATCGTCCAGTGGCCTCCCGGTCGAGCGTAGCGGTCAACTATCGCTACTGTGGCTTTGGTGTCTGTGATCAGGGTGTCGACAAAGGCCATGCCCATGGCTCCAGCGCCAATGACGAGGTAATCGGGGGTTATCGTGGTACTCATGTTGCCGGCTAGGAAGCTGTCTCGTTTGGGTTGTGATGAGAATGGATAAAGAAACTCCTAGGAGAGAGTGCGCGTTGAATTTATGGTCATCCTCCACTCGCCAAATTACTCTGTAACGATCCTAGACGTGTCATTTTATCCGGTACCCTGTGGATGATACCCGCAAACAATCGCATCCTAACTCTCTGTTGGTCGTCGTGTCTACGGTTGCTGACAAGGTCGACGTATTGAAACCTTGGCGCATCCCGCGGACCCGGTAAGCTCAGGCATCAGCTGAGAGGCAGGGCGTAGATTAGTATTATATGCTCGCAAGCTTTGATGAATGGGGAGCATATTCGACCGTCCGAGAAGGTGTTCAGTAATCTCGAACCAATGACCGTTGCACTACAGAGCGGGCCTCTACCAATCCTAGAGACACACCCTCCTTCTTGTGTTGACTAATCCCAAGACTAGACATGTGTGCCGGTAACTGTAGCCGTGGATCGACTACGATGCTCGCTTTGCAGGGGATGTACTCTTGTCTTTCGAGGTTACCCAGTCATCCAAACCCACTCGTCCCAGACCTCGGTCCACGCACGTGCCCTCGCGTCGCGCTAATCCCCATGCGAGAAGCTCCGTCCAGGCTCTCCGCTCGCAACCCCACAAGCTCTGCGCCCCTCTGCGCGCGTCGTCGTCACCAGCCCAATGGCCCCCGATGTAGCCTCCATGACCTCGACGCCCTCGACGCCCGCCTTGAAGCCCTCGCAGAAGCCTCTCTCCGGGCCCAACGTGCTCGAAGTCGTCTTCGGCTCGCTGCTCATCCAGCCCTGGTACCCGTCCTTCTACCCGGAAGAGCTCGCGGGGCGACGCGTCGAGCGGCTGTATGTATGCCAATGGTGCTTCAAGTATAGCAAGGAGCTGTTGGGCTTCATTGGACACTTGGTACGCTTTTTTCCCTATTCCTATTTCCCTCTGCGCTGACTGGGCGTGGCGGACAAGCTAACGTGCCGAGCAAATAGAAAGCATGTCCCCTCCGCAACACACCCCCGCCTGGCGTCAACGTCTACACAAAAGACAACTACTCGCTCTACGAGATTGACGGCGAAAAGCACAAGCTCTACGCGCAGAACCTCTCGCTCTTTGCCAAGCTTTTCCTCGATACCAAATCCGTCTTCTACGATGTCACAACTTTTCTATACTACCTCCTCGTCGCACACAGCCCTACACCGGAGATTCCGAATACCGGTTTCGGCGACGATGCAGAGGCGAGTCGAGTTGGCGGTCAAGGGCAGGTCGTCGGCTTCTTCAGCAAGGAGAAGATGAGCTGGGATAACAATAATCTGGCGTGCATATTGGTATTTCCGCCGTGGCAGAAGCAGGGGCTCGGACAGATATTGATGGGAGCGAGCTATGAGATGAGTAGGAGGGAGGACAGGTTGGGCGGACCTGAGAAACGTATGTCCATCTTCTCCATGCCGCGTTGAAATATCATGCTAATATTCCTTGCCGCAGCGCTGTCGGACCTCGGTCGCATTGCGTACATCCATTACTGGTCGCAGACCCTTGCGCGCACGATCCTTACTTGCCCGTCGAAGAAGACTGTCACGGTACAGGATTTGCGCGAGAAGACGTACATTGTACCCGAGGATATCATCGCAACGCTGCAGACGATGGATGTGTTGGAGCAGAAGAAGAAGGGCGGTGCCGATGCTGTCATCAATAAGGCCAGGGTGCGGGCGTGGGCAGATACGAACAAAGTGGACTTGAAGGCCTATCCCGTCGATCCCAACGCCTTTGTGGCGAGGGAGCAGAGTCGAAGTGTGAGCGAGGATACGTGAGGCGTGTGAACGATGCAAGCCGGTGGTGTGCGTAAATGCTTGACACCCACAATTGAATGAACTTGGATGAGCTTCAGTAGCTCACAAAGGTTTCTTTTGATAAGTGTTACTCTTTCTCTCTCTACTTCTTACTCGCAAAAAAGCCATCCAACCTCGCCCCAACATCCCCAACGCTCAACCCCCCAGTCAAACTCCCCCTTATCCACTTGGGCAGCTTATCCTGAATCCGCTTACTCCCATACCGCCTATCCAACATCAATATACTCGCATAATCCCCTTTATGTCTAATCGCCCTCCCCACACACTGATTCACCGCCCTCATACAAGCATTCTCGTAAAACTCGCGCGCAGCCGCCTTGCCACCACCACTTTTGGCCTGTATATACTGCATTTTGCTCTTCCACTCTGCAGAATGGGGATTGGGAAAGGGAAGGCCGACGACGACGACGCCCCGGCCGAGTGCGTCGCTGAAGTTTATGCCTTCGGAGAGTGTGCCGCCGATGACGGCGAAGAGGAGGGCGCCACGGCGGTGGTTCGAAGGAGAGGCGATGGCGGTGCTGTATGCTGTGAGGACGGAGGCTACGGCTGCTTCTTTGCTGGACTGTGGTGGCTGCTGTTGCTGGGTGGAAGAAGGTTGCTGTTGGCTGTTGCTGTTGCTGCGTTGCTCGAGGAAAGTGGGTTTTATTGCGGTGAATGCGTCCCAGAAGGTACGTGATGTTGAGGACGGCGATGACGATGGCTTGATGCGCTTCCATGCTGTGACGCATGCGTCGAGGAAAGTGTAGCTGGGGAAGAAGACGACGACGCCGTCGGGAATGTGCTGTGCGAATGTTAAAATGGCATTCCCCAGGTCCAGCATCGTGGCTTCTTTGTTGCGGTTCTCAAAGGTAAAGTCAAAGTCTGCGCCGCTTGTGCCGCGGATAATGGGTAAGGCGAGGAGGTTCGATGGCGGTATGACGTGCCCGCAGGATAGCGTTGTGATCTTGGAGGGAGCGAGGTAGGAGAGAAGGTGTTGCTCGTAGTCGCTCATGGGAGACATGGTGCCGCCGGCTAGTACGATTGCTCTCGCTTCTTCGACAATGTCTTTGAAGTGGTATGTTGGGTCGAGGAGCATGTATCGGAGCGTTGTTCCTGAGGCTTCTTCCTTGGAGTAGAAGAAGCGGCCTTCGCTGGATGGGTTCATCAAAGAGAGGAGGAAGGACTGTATGTGCATCAGGACTGGTACAGTGTGTCTGGGTCCACTCTTGATTGACTTGGTTGTCGACGTCTGCACGCTCGCGTTCTCGGCTTGCTCAGCGAAGACGGTGTAGCCGTCGACTTTGCGTGCGAGCCTGCTTTCCTGGAGATATGTATTGAGCTTGTAGATATTGATTTGATCGACACCCTTCCCTGACATGATCGCAGCCATGTCTACCAGGCCGTCCACCGCCTTCGCGTTTCCATCGATTGACTGCAAGTACGCAATGATGGAGTCCAGTATGCGGACTGTCTGAGCAACATAGACGCGATTCTTTCCCTTGAGCTTGTTCCGGAACTTGTGGAGGTAGGCTGTCAGTTGGGCGCGCGCTTGTTGCACCTGTTCTAGTGTCACGGATACGGAGTAGATGCCAGCGATGGCGTCCATCAGGTTGTGTGCTTCATCGATGATGACGATGTGATTTTTGAGGGAGAGACCGAGGGCTTCGCGAGCAGTGCGCTGGAGGAGGAGGGGATACGGTAGTGTTACAATCTGTTGTTGTCAGTCCACGAGTCTATCGTAGAACCGGGATAGTCGACTCACCTCGCAGTACTTGGTCGCTGGTCTCGAAGCATAATAGGGACACACACCCAGCTTCTTCCCTAGGACGCCCAAGTCCTCGATATCTCCAATCTTCGCAAGCGCATGGTCCCGGAACTCATTGACCAACGGCTCGCTCTCCTTAGTCGGCATGTGTGGACAGCGGCTCTCGGTCTTGGTGTTTTGCTGTAGTTCGAGGCATCGTTCGTTGATCGCCGTGGCACTTCCGAGCTTATTGACTTTGCTGTTGATGCAGAGATTCTTCCTTGATCCGAGAGTGAGGTGCTTTACGTCTTCTACAAGTGTGTCTACCTCGCTGTCGTTTCTCTCTTCGTCTGGAGCGATGGCGGGCGGCATCTTGACGCGACCTAGCTCGCTGGAGAACTGCGTCAACTGTGAGTGCGTCCGAGAGCAGAAGAAGATCTTCGTCTCGTCAGGCGCTTCTCCGTCGTCGTCTTTCGATGCATCCGTGCTGTAACCGAGTGATGCCATCAATGCTTGGGTTTCCGCGGACAGCCCAGACTCATCAAACCCGCCTGCCCTCGCCCGCTTGTGCGACTCTTCATCGCTTTCGTAGTCGTCGAGCGCGAATTGTGCATCGCCGTCGTTTTCATCCTCAGCCACAGCGATCCTCTGCCTTTTGTATTTCGGCTCGCCGCTCTCGTAACGCTCTTTGGCGCGCTTCTCCTTCGCCTTGATCTTCGCAATGCGGTCATCCAAATCTTGCTTGCGCCTCAGCGCTTCCTGCTTCCGCTGCTTCTGGGCGTGTTCGATTATCCACGACGGCTCCTCGCTATTTGCCGCATCGACTGTAAATCCTTCCTCAAATATCCGTCTTTTGTGATCGCGCAGCCACGTCAGCGAGCCGCAGATGAGGCTCAGCGTTTTGCCGGTTCCTGTCGGCGATTCGAAGATACCGACTTTGCCTTCTTCCAGGCATGTATAGACAGCACCCATGAGTTCATTTTGGATATCGTATGGTGTGTATGGATGGTGGAAGTCTCGCTGCTCATTGGTGTTGTGCATTGTGCCGTGGTGTCGAACAAGTGGGATAACGCGACATTGGGACGCGTCGCGTGGATGGGAACGGGTGTTCACGTGGTGTATCTAGCTCCACAAGCCTGGTAATGGGACGCAATCGCTTGTTCTCTGCACCACGAACGCATCTTGAATACTACTGCAAGGCAAATCATCGCCTCCTATGTACCGGTGCCGTAAGTTATAAGTTGACATGTTTTCAATGTCCAGTCCAGTCGACAAAGCATATTTTCCAAATCCATTCCACTGTAGCAGAATGCGGCATAGAGAGCCGCAAGTTGAAGGCTATTCACGCTGCTCGTACAAACTCACAAGTCACGTCCAAGTCTTGCGTGTTGCTGCCCTTCAACGACGGTTGGGAAATCTGGCGGTGCAAGGTGGGGGCTATTCAGCGACCAATCAGGCCTAGATCGGACGCGAGCACCGTCTCACCTTCCCGAACGCGTGGCTTTATCTCCAATGCCATCTATCACTTCAAACCTACCGCCTCTCTAGCAATGTCCGCAAGAACACAATCTCCCTACATGTTGACCATGTTGTGAGCGACGCGCGGGCAAAAGCTGGCAGCAAAAGGTCTCGATTGCTGCATCAGGCTGGTACCAGCTGGGCGCGAGCAGGATAAGCCAGCAGGCGACGGCAACCATCACCACTGATATCTCAAACAAATAATCTAATCTACGATGTTTTCATCTCGGCGACAGGACCATGAAGAATTGGGCGCATACACGACTGTCGCACAGACCGAGGCTGCAGGTGTCGACCCTACCCCCACAGAAGATGTACCGTTCGAAGCTCCCATTCACATTGGCTCCATACCAACAGCAGAAGACATGCTCTTTCTTCCGCGTGTCGCAGACACACTCCCACATGGCGCTTTTCTAGTAGCGATTGTCGAGCTCTGCGAGCGCTTCGCTTACTACGGACTTTCTGGGCCATTCCAGAATTACATCGCAAATGACTACGATGATCCCAACGGTCTACCTGGCGCTCTCGGTCTGAAACAGAGTGGTGCGACGGCGATGACAAACTTCTTCCAATTTTGGTGTTACCTCACACCTTTGTTCGGGGCTGTTGTTGCAGACCAGTACCTTGGCAAGTATGCTACGATCAAGTGGTTCAGCCTAGTGTATATGGTCGGTATCGGCATTCTCTTCGTTACCAGCTTACCGTGGGCCATTAAAGGTGGAGCTGCATACCCCGGACTCGTTGTCGCCATGCTGGTCATCGGTCTTGGTACCGGCGGCATCAAGAGCAACGTATCGCCACTGATCGCGGAGCAAGTACGATCCAACAAACCCTTTGTCAAAACTTTGACGAGCGGCAAGCGGGTTATTGTTGATCCAGAGATCACGGTGCAGAGGATATACATGATCTTTTACATGTGCATCAACGTTGGTTCCATATCCGCCATAGCAACAACGATGCTTGAGCTACACGTGGGCTTTTGGAGTGCCTATCTCTTACCACTGGTCATGTTCTGCGTGGGGTATGTTATACTGGTCCGGGGAAGGAAGCAGTACATCATCAAACCACCACAGGGCGGTGTGATTGCTAATTGCTTCCGCGCCTTGTACATCGCCGCAAGAAACGGTGGAGACCTCAACAAAGCGAAAGCCTCCGCTCAGGGTCACGACCGAAGCAGATCGAAAGTGACGTGGGATGATAAGTTCATTGACGAGTTGAAGACTGCGTTAGTGGCGTGTAAAGTCTTCTTGTTCTTCCCGATCTATTGGCTCTCGTACTCGCAAATGCTGAACAATTTCGTTTCACAGGCTGGTCAGATGGAGTTGCATGGCCTACCGAACGACATTCTTCCCAATATTGACCCAGTTACCATTATCGTGCTCATTCCGATCATGGACCGCCTCATCTACCCATTCGTCCGCACAAGGCTACACATTGCGTTGATGCCGATTACGCGCATCTCTCTCGGCTTTCTGATGGCTGCGCTTGCAATGTTGTATGCTGGAGCTCTCCAATCCAAGATCTACGCAGCACCACCTTGTTACTTTAGTCCATCGAATTGCAACGCGGGAAAGATCAGCGAGGGAAGGTTCCAACCAAACGAAGTCCACGTCGCCTGGCAAGCCCCAGCGTATGTTTTGATCGCTCTGAGTGAGATCCTCGCAAGCGTCACCGGATTAGAGCTAGCATATGCAAAGGCACCGGAGAACATGAAGAGCTT